AACTATAAAATTCACAATTTCCTCAGCTTTATTTTGAATCATAGTTTGTAAAAATCGGGCAAGAAATAAGGAAGTTATAAGAGTTTTTAATCAGGAAGATGCCTTACAGTCTATTGACCTCCATTCATTGTGTTGAGGCTCCTCAATGCAGAACAGAGCTCCAGTGTATGCACGTCCATGGAGCTAGCAGTGTGCTAGCCACACCCAATCCAGTAATATACATCAATGATACAGCACACCTTAGCTGATCCCTCAGGTGTTCAATGAAATTAAGGTCAGGGCTGTAAGCAGACCATTGCACCCTCTCCTCTCCTCAAATATGGGAAGTAGTCTTTGATGAACTCATCTGTGGAGGCCAGCATTGTCATTTTGGAGGCTAGAATTCAGTCTGAGACTGTGGGAGCATGAAACTGCCTCTGGTTGCTCACAGGTACAGACAGGCAGGTGCCAATCAGACACCTGACTGTCAGCACCTGAGGTACCAGCAACTGACAACAACTGTCAGTGTTAAAATAAGCTGTTTGACATTGGCACAGAAGATTTGTTGGTTGATTCAGAAGTTTTTCATGGGTGCAACCCACATACTGAACTCAGCTGCTCAGCACACAAATGTTTTTTTTTTTACAAATGTGGCACCATTTAAGGGGAAATAAACAGGCTTTCCAACGGTGTATGATTTATTACCAAAAAGCCTTGTTACAACAAAGAAATAACCAGCGAAATACTACTTTTTGTGCTGTTTATTTTAGAGTTTAATCACAGATGTCTATATATATCTCCAGTATGCCTACAACCTTTTGAAATCCAGTTTCAAACATTAGGATATGGTGTGGTCCTGGTCCAAGGACCTCATGCATAAAGGATTGCGTAGCTTTCACACTAAAAGTTGACGTACGGACAAATTTAGAAAAGTGTACCGCACCAAAACACTCAGATGTATAAAACTGTGTGCATGCATGTTCCTGTGCAGCTTTTCTTTATACATCCCAATGAACATGGAACTGAGACTCCTCCCCTGACACGCCTCCATTTAAATCTGTAAAATAGATGTAAATGTGTCCAGAGTGTGAGATTCTCCTCAGATTGTCCTCTCTGTGGGATCAGAAAGGATTTTTAGATGCAGGAAAATTATACATTAAATGGAGAATGAGTGAGAAAATTGTCTAAATAAGGAGTGGAGTAAAAATGAGTTTGCCACTCGCAAAGGTGTGTGTGTGTGTGTGTGTGTGTGTGTGTGTGTGTGTGTGT